AGTTTTATGGTTATGTATGGTCAGAAGGCAAATTGGGTTCCTGCTACTCTGTCATGGCCCTCTTATTTATAGTTTAATAGTAAATATGTCTTCTTATTAACATGGGGCTCTGTAGATTAAATCAAGAACTTTGTCTACTTTGTTTAGCTGGATTCTTCAGTATTGAGAACATGTCTGTGATATAATTAGCACTCAATAAATATGTTTTATTTTTTTATTTATTTAAAAAAATTTTTTTAACGTTTATTTATTTTTGAGACAGAGAGAGACAGAGCATGAAGGGGGAGGATCAGAGAGAGGGAGACACAGAATCTGAAACAGTCTCCAGGCTCTGAGCTGTCAGCACAGAGCCCGCCATGGGGCTCAAACTCACAGACCGCGAGATCATGACCTGAGCTGAAGTCGGCCACTTAACCGACTGAGCCACCCAGGCGCCCCAATAAATATGTTTTAAATAAATTAATGTGTTGCTCACTGGAGAATTTGGGATGAAAACAAACTTACTTAATAAGATAGTTGACCAAAGTTAGGAATACAAAATAGAATTAGGAATATGCTTGAATAGCCCACAGTGATATCCAAAAGAGAGCAATGTACCCCCAGGAAAATATTTCAGCTTGTCTGAAATTACATAGGATGGCATTTACCACAAACTCTAACCTTGAAGGTTGTGAATATTGATGTTGTCATCTTGTTAACACACCATGGACCCAATTCTCAGTAGAAGGCTCACATTGGCAAAACTCACGAGGCCAACCTCCAACTTACTAATAGAGATTCAGAAATAAAACGCATCAGTTGCCATTTCTCTCCCTTTCTGTTTGCTCAAACAAGTAAAATTATAATAAAAATTCTGCCTGAGAAGCTTGAAATTAGAACATTAATTAAATATTTAATAACAATAGGCTAAGATAAGTTTTGACTTTTAAATGAATATATTATTAATTTAATACCTTATGTATCCATATTTATAATATGACAAGATTTTTTTGTTTTGTTTCTTTGTTTATTGCCTTTTTATACGTACTGGCTTTAACAATTTCTTTCCTAATTATTATAGAATTGATGTTTTATGAAGAACACAAAACATTTTCCAAAACTTTTTTATTTTTAATGAAATTTTTTCTCATGTATTTAATTATTTGTAGATCATTTATTTCAGTAAGTAATTATTGAATGGTTTCTTCATGTTGGACATTTGGTGGCAAATTAGACAAGGGTCTTCATCTCATGAATCTTAAAAAGTAGCATGAGATATAAAAGCAAGCAAGCAACTGTAGCACAATGTTCTAAGTTCTTGGATCTTAAAATATGAAAAAGAGAGTGGAAAGAGATGAAGGGCACCTGGAAAATTTTAAATGGTGAAGAAACATGATAAGGTCTATACTAGCAAGATAATACTGACCAGACTGTGGATAATAAACTAAGAGGTTGTGGGAAGAAATAAGGGAATCCTGGAGCCAGGGTCACTAATTAGAAGGTTGTTATAATAATCCATGGGTAAAATAACTCTAATAAGTAAAATATGTTTAAGAAAACCAGCCTCTTTATGTTTTTCAATGGGCAAATAGTTAAACAAATGGTGGCATATTATTATCTTACTTGTGATACTTACTGTATTACACTTGACCCTTGAACAACATGGGTTTGAAATGCACAGGTGTACTTACTCTTGGATTTTTTCAATGAACACAGTGCAATACTATAAATGCATTTTTTCTCTTCCTTATGATTTTCTTAATAATAGTTTCTTTTCTCTAGCGTACTTTATTGTAAGAATACAGTATGTGATACACATACATACAAAATGTGTGTTAATCAACAGGTTATATTAGCTGTAAGGCTTCTGGTCAACAGTAAACTATTAGCAGGATAGTTTTTGAGAAGTTAAAACTTACAAGTGGATTTTTGATTGCATGGCACCCCTAACCCTTGCATTGTTCAACAACAACTGTATAGTTTTGGAAGATGTTACCTTGGTGAAAACTGGGTAAAGAGTACATGGGACCTCTGTTCTCCTACAACAACATGTGAATTTATAATTTTGTCAAAATAAAGAAGTTTAATGTTTTAAAATGTATATAGGCCAAAAAAATGTAGACTATCAGGGACACCTGGATGGCTCAGTCAGTTAAGCATCCAACTCTTCATTTCAGCTCAGTTCATGATCTCACAGTTTGTGGTTCAAGCCCCACATCAGGCTCTCTGCTGACAGTGCAGAGCACTCTTTCTCAAAATAAACAAATATATAATCTAAAAAAAATTTTTAAAAAGTAGAATATCATAAAAAGTTTAATGAGCACTAGTTTTAAAGTCAGTTTGTCTTAGAGAGGAATTCTAAGCCTGCCACATTCTAGCTATGACAACTTAACCTGACTGAACTTTAAATAAATAATAGTCATCAAGACCATTATCATCACCACCAGCACTGAAACCCATACAGTATACATACTATGTGCCAGTCACTGATTTAAGCACTTTGCATGTTTTAACACTTTTAATTCTCTCCTCTCTTGTTTACTTCTCTCATGGTTTGCTGACTTACTTTAGTGATATACTTGTATTTTGTGTCATAATTTACATCCTTCTATTTTCTTAATCCCTTGACCTATTTTTTATAGATATACTTACTTTTACTGTTTTTGTGCTTTCTACTTTTCTTACTTCTACTTATGGTTTTCCTTTCCTTTCATAGAGTTCCTTTTAGCATTTCTTTTAGGGATGGTTTAGTGGTCATGAATTCCTTTAAATTTTGTTTGTTTGGTAATCTCTTTATCTATTCTTCTATTCTGAATGCTAGCCTTCCTGCATGGAGTATTCTTGGTTGCAGGTTTTTGTTTTTGTTTTTTTTCTTTTAGCACTTTGAATATATCATGTCACTGCATTCTGACCTCCAAAGTTTCTGCTGAAAAATCAACTGATAGACTTTTAGGGTTTCCCTTGTATGTAACTGTTTTCCTTTTTTTTTTTTTTTTTTTTTTTTTTTTTTTTTTTTTTTTTTTTTTTTTTTTTTTTTTTTTTTTTTTTTTTTTTTTTTTTGATGCTTCTAAAATTCTCTTTTTATCTCTACTTCTTCCCATTTTAATTTCTATGTGTCTTGGTGTGGACCTCCTTGGGTTGATTTTGTTGAGTCTCTCTGTGCTTCCTGGATCTGGGTTTCTGTTTTCTTCCCCAGACTGGCAATTTTTCAGCTATTATTTCTTTAAATAAAATTTCTTCCCCCTTTTCTCTCTCTTTTTCTTCTGGGATCTGTATAATGAAAAAGTTATTATACTTGATGGTATTGCTGAGTTCCCCAAGTCTATTTTTCTATTTTGTCCTGCTCTTTTATTTGGGACATAGCCCCTGTCTCCTCATTTTGTCTAGCTCTATGTATATCTTTCTATGTGTTAGGAAAATCAGCTATATCTGCTCTTGAAAGTAATGGCCTTATGAAGAAGTCTTGTGGTTCCCTATAGTGCGATGTTCCCTGTTCAGCAGAACCTGGAGCATTAGGGGTGTCTTCTATGTGTGTTATGTGTGTTATACTATTATGGCTGAGCCTGGGGTGCCTGACATGAGGGTCCATTTCTCTCCCCTTTCAGGGCCTTCAGCATCCCTTCCTCCTACAATCGTATGGATCCATTGACTCCTAACTATGTCTCTTTCCTTCCTACCTACTTCAATGTGTCCTCTTCCCTACATTCTCTACATTTAGCTGTGGAGTGTCTGTTCTGCCAGTCCTGAGGTCATTATCTTGGTTATTTACACTGATGTGGTTGCTATTAGTGGAGCAAAATGAGCTTAGGGTCCTCCTTCTCCATCTTCACCTGAAATCAATGCTTTTAATTCTCTAAACAGCCCTATCTGGTAAGTATCATCATTATCTTAATTTTAAATATTGAGAAAATGAGGCAATGAAAGAAAAGTATTTCACTCATGACCACATAGTAACTGGCTGAATATGAACTTGAAACCGGGTTATCTTCCAAAAGGCTTGATACCAATGACTAACATTGAAGGAGCTCAGGAAAAAAGTAAAAATGGAGACCTCCATACTAAATGTCTAAATGCTTAAGAGCTATAAATCAAGCTAACAAACTGTCAAAAATGTATATATTTCATCCTTCTATTTAGACAAATATACTGTGTAACCATTAAGTTTAAATTTAAAATTCTCAGACTTTGTACAGTTCTACTCTATCAACATGGACTGCCTTTCTTCTCTTTCCACTCATGGTTTGGTTCCACACTGTGAAAGTTCTTTTTGTACATTTTTTTGGACACCCCAGCCTGAAGATCTAAGTCCTGTCCTAAGGATATACATACCATTGAGTCAGTGTGCCTTTAGTGGATGAATTTAGGGAAAGAAGACCATGCAAACCCTGGTAACACAGAGCTTTTAGATAGGGAATTCCAGGGTCCTGTATACAAAAGCATAGTCTAGAATTGGGGGGATGAACTCCAGATAGAATGGTTTCTTGACTCTGTAGAATAACGCCCACACCCCTGAGAGAGGCGCTGAGAGATCTGAAAGAAACCCAAGCAAGGTCCTGAATAGGGGTTTGTCACTCTTACTCAGATCTAAGTGTGATACCAGCCTCATTTCAACAGGAATGATACCTACCTTTTATAATTGTGAAGATTACAGCTTATTTACATGATGTCCCTCATTATATTCTTCAAGATGTGTGTTACTTCACTGCATTAGAGGGAAGAGGTAGTTATTCTGTTAACATTTGCAATTGTACTTTAATATCAAGTAGTACATTACTGGAGGGGAGTTGGGCAGGGGATGGGTTCCATAGGTGATGGATATTAAGGAGGGCACTTGTTGTGATGAGCACTAAGTCTTATATGTAAGTGATGAATAACTAAATTGCACACCAGAAACAATATGACACTGCATGTTAACTAACTGGAATTTAAATAAATATTTGGAGTAAAAAATAATATTATGTAATATAATTTCTCAGCATTAATATTCTATAGTTAAAATATATCACTTCTTTTCTTGGTAGATGGACTAGAGACTTTTACCAGATTTCTTAAAACTGAATTCAGTGAGGAAAACATTGAATTTTGGATAGCCTGTGAAGATTTCAAAAAAAGCGAAGACCCTCAACAAATTATCCTTAAAGCAAAAGCAATATATGAGAAATTTATACAGAATGATGCTCCACAAGAGGTATAGTAGATGATCGTAAAAATTTAAAACTGTTTGAAAAATTTTTTGAGAAAGTCTGCCTTGATCAAATTGATATCCTCATACATTCCACCAAAAGGTCAATATTTCACTGAAGTAAAAATGGGTATTAATGTAAATTCCTACATACAAACAAAATTCACTGTAAGACTTTGCCATGGAAATAAAATTATAATTGAAGTCATTACTTGGGGTTATTTTTATTCTAGACTAAGAGTCAATGCAATTATTTGCAACATTTAGATTCATTCACTTATCCATATTAATAACCTAAATATAAGCAATGTCTCATCAAAACTAATGATTTCTATAAGTGAGGAAGGCAAGAGAAATTAAGAAGTTTTTATAATGTGCCATTTTAGTGTGAACTCATCTACCAATGCAAAGTTTTGATTGCCCCAAAATAATTATTCCTCCACTTTAAGATAGACTAAAGAAAATTTCATAATAAATAGTTGAGGGAAACCTAATTTGGCAATGGTTCAAGTAAAAAAACAGTTGTGATTTTCTTTGACCACAAGCTCAATGTGAGATAACTGTGTGATACAACTACTAAAACAATAGCTATAAAACTAGCCAATATTACCTGACTACCCTCAAAAGTAATTTAAATAGAGTTTCTATATTTCTGTGTGTTCAAAAAATAGTGTTTCTTTGCTAAAGGGGTAGAACTGGTAGTCTATCACTGGTAAGAGTTCTGTTTTACTATAAATTACTATTGTCCATGAGGTAGCATCATCTATGTGGATATCATTTCACATGGAATGATGATTGTTTTTCTTGTTTCAGCATGTTTCAGTTGGTTCTGTGTTTCAGTGCATTATTCTGTTTTTCCCATGGCCAACCTTATACATGGATTTTTAAAAACAGCTAGTTTTATGGTGTTACCTATGAGGGAAAAGGAAAGACCCTTACCTGAAAACACCTCTACCAGAATCAGATATAGCAGTAGTAGTTTCATAAAACCATTGAAAGATTTTATATCTTTATAAGATCTCCATTTTCAGCACACATTTGCTTGTAAGAAAGCATCATAATAAAATGAAAAGAGCATGGTGATTTAAAAAAAAAAGCCCCACATTGAAATCCTAGATATGCCCCAAACTCACTGCCCTCACTCAAAATAATTTGATTTCTGTGAAGCTTACTTTCCACTTTGAAAATGAGCTACCCTGATGGTCTTTATGATATTTACCATGTTTCATTATCTTAAATTAGCAGAAGTGAGAAGGACCAGGAGCATAGGAAGAGAAGACCCTGATGAAATGCCAACCCAGAGTAAATCATTGGATCCCTAGACCCATAACAAAGAAAATCACCCAAACATTCAAGTACATTATGCCCACTCCAACACTGGATCAGTCCTGCACTTTGTTTTTCAAAGGTGTTTACTTAAGTAGATTGACCATATTCATGCTTTTTTGTTATTATTATCATCCAGGTTAACCTTGATTTTCACACCAAAGAAGTTATTACTAAGAGCATCACCCAACCCACCCTACACAGCTTTGATGCTGCACAAAGCAGAGTGTATCAGCTTATGGAACAAGACAGTTACACACGTTTTCTGAAATCTGACATCTATTTAGACTTGATAGAAGGAAGACCTCAGAGACCAACAAATCTTAGAAGACGATCACGCTCATTCACCTGTGCTGAGTTCCAGGATGTAAAGTCAGATGTTGCCATTTGGTTATAAAGAAAATTAATTTTGTTTATTTTGATGGCAAATTTGTAATCTGTTTCTAAGATATAGAATATTTACTTTTTACAAGTGGGTACATCTTTTAAAATAAAACACACCATGTCAATGGATTTTTAAAATGTAAATCAAAACTTACATTCTAACAACACATACTGTATCTGCCAATTTATTCTGTAAAACCTTCCATTTGACTTCATTCCATTCATAATCACAAAAACATTACTTAATTAAAAAGAAGTAAAGAAGTAATAATATTTTATGAGACTGTAAAGTTGAATTAAAGTTATGCTTTTGCAAAATTGTCAATGGTTAGACCCAATATCTACTTTGGATTATTTTTCTAGATTAAACAATTTATTGCTCAGATATCCATATATTCAGAGCACAGTTTCCATACTGATGAAGACTCTTTCTCTTTCAGTCATAGAGAGTGTAGAAGTGATCTTGTTCTACAATAGGAGAAGACAATCATTTGCTCTTGTGTTACTAACACTGGTTCATGAATAAGCATTGTGTCACCTCTAGTTATAAACCAGAAATGGGAACTTTGGGGAAGACACATTCACATCTATAGAATTTCCAAGTTCAACATAACCCATATTGATAACTGAGAATAGGATCCACATGTGGGCTCATTCCTAAATAAACATGGGCTTACCCAATAAGTGGAGCACATTTCTGGTGGTCACAGAAACATGACCAGGTCATACATAGCTCCAGGTTGAGACTAGGAGCATCTTCTTACCTGCTAACATAAGTAACCTGCTACTAAAATAGTGGCAGTCAGTGGTTTGAATGACGCCCAGAGGAAGTTTACCCCCAGCTGTAGTTAGGTTTCGTGCTTAGACTTTTAGGATTGGGATGAACGTTAGAAATGAGAGGAGGTAAAAAAGCAAGGAGTCAAAGGCCCTGGAGACTCATGCATCTGCTACATTGGCTCATAGAAAGAAAGTGTTCCCCATTGATCATGTTCTTATTTCAAGTCTCATTGAATCATTTAATTCTATCTTATTCAAAATAAGATTATGGTAATAAATATATGTCTCTACTTTAGGGAAATATTTAATTTTCAATGTGTGCTGCATGTAAATGCCTATATAATTAAAGATGTCATACATTTGGCTTTGGCAAATGTTATATTAGTTGAAATGTAAAATATAAAAATCATGGATTACCTATAGTAATAAATATTTTTAATTTCTTCTTTTGTACAGTTAATGTTTATTTTACCATTAAGTGTTCTTGCTAATTATTGAATATTCTTTCTGTCATCAAATTACACATAGACATATTTTCTTATTTTAGAATGATAATGGAATAGAAAGAATTAAAATGTTTTGTCACTGATTTTAATGCTAATTCAATTCTTTATACAGTTATAGATATGAAAACAAGGTATCATGCTTTTCAAAAATCAACCAAGAAAGTGATTTTTTTCTTTGGGTTATTTGTATTTTATTTTTTGTCTGATTGCCTCATGCACAGTTAAGACTTGATACAAGGTACCTTTTTTATGTTTATTTATTTATTTTGAGAGAGATACAGCACATGTGGGGGGGAGGGGCAGGGGAGGGACAAAGAGAGAGGGAGAGAAAGAGAATCCTAAGCAGGCTTTGCACTGTCAGCACAGAGCCAGACACAGGAGTCAATCCCATGAACCATGAGACCATGACCTGAACTGAAATCAAGAGCCAGGTGCTTAATCGACTGAGCCACCCAGGCATCCCTGCAAGCTTTCTGATATCATCAGAAAAATCATGGGCTGATTTTAACAGCATTGTTCTAGGACTACAAATACATATTATGTAGGTTTTTTTTTTATTTGTAATACTTCACAGATGTGTCCAATATCTTGTTTAAAATATTCAATGGGACCCTTCAAAAACATACCAAGGATAATGTGGCCACAAACAGAAAACAAAATAAACATTTGGAGCAGTGGAAGAAGCCGAGCAAAACTGTGCAGACAGTACTGAGCAATGGCTGAAGGAATTGCAGAAATATATGATAAAAGTCTGAGATCTTGAGAACCTCAGTGCCTGGGCTCCCTAAACAGATGTATAAGCCTCAGAAATTCATTTAACTTCTAAACATATCTATCTTAACCATGTTTTGTTTAATAAAAGGGCTCAGCATTTCTAATTCTAATCCTCTTTATGGTCCCTACATTTACTGATTCTAAGTACATCACCTGATATTCTCCAAAGCACCTCTTGATTAATGCCCAAGGAAGGAAAAGAGGCAAATATGTATAGTTAATGAAGGAAAACTTCAGACTAAAAGTTAATATGGGATATTGGTCTAATAGTAAGGAATAATTTTATAGAAAACTTAGAAATACATGAAAGGAAAGAAACCACAGGAAATGTAGCTTACATTTTTTTGACTGATCATATGTATAAAACAGAATGTCTTTAAATGGCTTGAATAAGATAATTTTGAGTATCTTGAAGTCCATAGGCAAAAGTCAATACCTATGCTGCCATATTTTGTATATAATAGAAATTCAATACGTGAATATGGAATCAAATGGAAGCAAAAGGAAGCATTATGAGGAAAATTCACATTTCAGCAAAGAATAAAGGCATACTTTAATTGAATGTGGCATATTTTATTTGAATCCTGGGTCTGCCACTTACCAAGTGTAGTATGTTGGGAAAGTTACCTAAATATACCTAAATATTTTGAACTTCAATTTCTCATTTGTGATATTGAAATAAACATTTACGGTGATCTTAAGATGATTAAATTTTAAAATATTTGTAAAGTGCCAAGTATAGATTCATTGAGTTAGTGCATGAACATTAAAATATCGGAATTATTCTCAATATTTATGTATCACAGTTTAATTATGATATAAATTTTCCTAATGTTTATGTTAAAAACAAATATATGTCCCTTGAGAATAATGAGATTTTTTCCTGAATAAAATACGGGGGCGGGAGAACAGTTCTTGCTCTCACCTAATCTTTTATAAATTTGCCCTCCATTGAAAAGTAAGTAATGACATTTTAGTCATATAAAAATATTAGAAAATTATAAGCTAAAATATTCTTCTAAAGAAAAGCTGAAAAAAACTTAACTTATTAATTATGTGCAATGAAGTCCTTCTCTAGGAGAAAAAAAAGGACAAAACATATTAAAGATACATACTTCCAAAAGTGCTCACAGATTTAACAATAACATTAGCTAAAATTTAAACACATTAATTTTATTTTCACTGTGTTACATTGATTGGTCTTCTATTTAATTTCCTTGCTTTTTAATTATTATCTATCTATAAAAGAGAAAACAAATACAAAGATCCTTGCCAATTTAACCATGGGTTTATTCATAAACATTAACTGGAATCTTTTCAATAATGAAAATTAAAGATAATATAACATAGCCAAACCCAGCTTCTGAATGAATGAACAAATATTTATTGAACACTTTGTGTTTGACTGGTACAGTTAACTGCTGAACATTCAGAAGTGAATCAAGCAGAGTGAAAGGGAGAGAGAAAGAAACTTTCTTCATGGTATGTTCGCTGATAAAATTTGCGTAATACAATATTCAGCTAAAAGCCATGCTTTACACAAGATGTTCCTTCATATTTATACCAGATAATAAATCCATCCATGACTGATGATGCAGATATCATTTATCTTTTGAAGCTAAGAGTTGGATAGTTAATTCCTTCACTTGTTTAAGAGAAACACAGTAGTCCCACTAACTTGTACAAATTTCGTGCACCTTTTATAAAATGAAAGCGGAACTAAAAGCATACACATATCTAAGAATACATTTTATTTAAGACTGAGGGGTTATGTTAATTTCATGTGTTTTTACTTTATAAACAACCAATTGTACAAAAGTCCTTTGTAGAGTAAAAAAAAAATCTAAACAACATTTTAAAAAACCATATCATTTGAGGAACAATAGAGAAAAATGAACTGCATAAGTAGAAAAATATTGCATATGAAAAATAATGAGCCAGTATTAACTGTGCTTTTAAAGGATATGACCATTTTACAGAAAATACACATATTTTTTGTGGAACCTTACCTTCAAATTGAATTTTGTAGAGTGGAAATGAAACTTTTAGAAGTAATAACCAAGGGAAATATTTAAAATAACACAAATTTAGTAAAAACAACAGTATTAACTTTCAGATAGTCTGTTTACAGTCCATTTCTGATATCACTAGCAATACACAGAAAATAAATAATAATCAAAATAAATATTCTTTTTGCTAGAGCAAGGAAGGAGATAGAAAATATTTGGAAAGATGGCCATCAACATGTAAAACCCAATAATTATCTTCTGAACATTAAACTATTGTTACCTGTAGAGAAATTAGAATATTTAAATATGAATTCAAATGATGTCAAATCAGTATTAACAATATCTGTAATACATTTATTTAATAACCTATAGTTTGGAATACTCTATACCTAATTTATCCTTATTTTATCATACAGAACCCCTGAAGTTCAATAAATATTGGCTATACTTCACCTTTATTCCAGTCACTGTACTGGATGGTAGGAATGCAAAAGTGAAAAACATAGAGTATATTGTTGAGGATATTACACCTGATGATACTTCTATGTAGGCAAACACATAAACTAGTCATTTCAATCCAAAATGCAAAACAGTCACAGATATCTTGCTATCCCTATCTCTAAAAAATTGCCAGACATTTTCATGTGATGTAACAAAACACCGGAGTCATACCTTTGTGTCTTCACAATACGTCTGAGTATATTTTGTAGTATGAGGTGAGATATTGAATTGTTATCTTGCCATTGAAACTTGCTTTAAAATGCTTGTCTCTATAAACCTGAGATTTCATGGAAGAGATAAATGGACTTCATTCACATTATGATTTGATTCATTAAAGGCTACCTTTAAGTAGGAGATTTCAGAAAAGTATTTAGGTTTTATTGACAAAAAAATTACTTAACATAGAGGCTTTGGAAGTAGATCTTTAATAGAAAGTGACAAGCAGAGCATTGAGACTCTGGTAAATGAATATCAACCAAAAAATTAGATGAATGATATCTGAAATTATGAAATATTCATTGAAAAATCATTATTGAAACCATAACATTTTACTTATTTATATTATTTATAAGCATATTTATTGTGAAATAAAATTAACATTCTCTAAAAGGAATCACATGCTTATGAAGGAAACAATAACCTTGCAATTTGGTCCACTAATATTATTTGCTAGCCATTTATAGTGTATTTTCCTGTTTGTTTTTTCTCCAGATGGCTATTTTGCCAAGAATTTGTAAGTAAAAGATGATTTCAGGATGGTATACACATATATATAAATATACCAGTAGTGTGATTTTTTAAAAAAATAATAATAATTACCATTATTTTTCAGTCTACTGGGTAAACTCTATTCTCTCTGCCACACAGTATCACAGTTTCTTCATCATTGAAGAAAGTCTTATAGGCAAATATTTGGGGGGATATAAGACAATATTTATACTTTGCAAAAAATTTTGACTTGAAAATTAGAATGTCTATTTAAACAGATAAAAATAGAGAGAAATCAATAAAATAGTAATTTTTGTGCTTTAAAAATCATATAAAAAGAAGCATTTTTTAAATCCCTGAATATTGCAAATAGTATTGTGTTTAGCAACTGTATCTGCCTAAGAAAGGAAATGATATCATTTAATCTTCATTTTTTCACTTTTCATACAGAATCTATGAATGTTTTAGAAATTTAGGAATAACTTAGATTGGGGCCTCCATTTTCTTGAATGGCTGAGTCAGAAAGATTACATAAGATTACATAATTATCATAGAACATATCATATTCTCAGCTAATAAATATCTTTCTCAGCTAATTTTCCAGCAAATATTTGAAACATGTCCAAGTGGTCTTGAAGTCATCGGTAAAGGTTAAATGGGGAGAAAATATCTTAATTTTAAGAACATGCATATTGGCAACAAAAGCAATGTATACATTCTGGAAAACAAGAATGCATTATAGAAAACTGAAAATTATCATAATCTGAATCACAATCTCTGATATCACATCATGGTTTTAAAAAGTACTATAAACATATCTAAGAGAAACAGTTTTTAATTCTACATATGATTTAAAGACAAATATAATGTATGAAGAAAATAAATTGAAGAAAAAAGACCTAATCTTTCAATTCAGAACAAGCATTTTAGTGCACGTGTATATTT